GTGGCTCTGTTGAAAGTCCTCAATATCCACATGAGCTCAGATACTGGACTTGGGACTGCATTTGTCCCGTTAGATGTCAGACCTGTATGACGGAGTCAGTGACATTAGGGACCTGTTTTTCTCTTCATGTTTGCTACATCTGACCTGGTTTTCGACCAGATGTCCTTAAGGGCATTGGCTTGGCTTCTGCTGCCAATAACTTCATATCCTTCTGTAGAAAATGAACCTTTTCTGTCTAATAGTGATGAAACCAGAATCTACACGCTGGGTTTGGCTCAGCTTTTTACCGAGTCGCTGGATGTGCTTTCAATCTTCTAAACAGGTTTACTGACTCAGAGCTCATCTGATTAAAGGTAATTCTTTTGTCAATGAAGCCATATAAAGAGCTACGACTGTAGCTAACCTACCTTTCTCACATATAGAAAGTACACCTAGATCAATGCTTGTATGTTCTATTTGTGTGTACGCTCCATCGTCTCTCTGAAGCAAATCATGACAAACGAATAGCTTTAATAAAAAATGGAATAGAACCATTTTAAATGGTTTGGATGAAAACACTAGTGAGGTAACGTTCCCTTTATATACACCGATTTAAAATCCTTTAGGAATTCAAGACCAGAAAAAAAAACAAGGACACAAATGGAAGTTTGTTTCATTTTATGAGGATATATTATAATTATCATCTTCAGTTTTATTTGAAATCAATGTAACAGCTTTAAAAAGCATTTTGAGTAGTAAAAAAAGGATAAAAGTAGTAAAATAGTGACAATTATAAGGTTAATAATTATAAAATCTGTAAAAAGGAAGAAAAAAGATTAAATACAAGAGAGAGGAAATAATGTTGTATAATGACTTCTATGTTATAATCAGCTTATAATCTTTGGCATATAGAATGTGGATTAACTTCAAGCAGCAAGGTTCAACTTTAACATGATATATCATATTCCTACTGAGGTGGGATTATCTCTGGATTATATGTGACTCACTGCAAAGGAGGCAGCAGGAGAAACTCATTGATAAATGTTCATTAGATGTTCTGTAGGTAACAGAATCAGCCAGTAAAGAGAAGGGAAGCAATAATAAAAAGCTTTCAATTGGAAAAAAAGACAGAGGAAAAACATCTGGCTGGTGGCTATTCTCATCAGATGACTGTTTATCAGCGTTAATCTGAGACCGAAGCCGTCCTTCAGAGGATCAGGAGGCCTAGATGGAAGCTCCTGCTCTGTAAACAGAGAGAGAAGATGTTCAAACACAGAGATTACAGGCTAATCAAGTTAGCCATCATGTCTAGATACGTTAACAAGTCTGAAGGAAACTCGTTAGTGACACACAAACATTTAGATTAATGCAAGCGATTAATGCGGATTCATGCGTTTCCATGACAACCACCTACAACACATGCAGCAGACGTGATCTTCATGTAAAATCCTAGACCATGAAAATTAACCTGTTCTCATCTAAAGCTGCAAACTGGGTCAGAATTCTGATTCTGCGTTCACACCAAAAGCGTTTTGGGCATCAAAGCGTCTGATTTACATGTAAAGTTTATGTGTTACGGCGTCCAGAGGACCAGCAGCGCGTCCGAGCGTTCAACGCTAGAGTTCAGGAAATCGAACTTTGCGCTGGACACCAGAGCGTCAACCAATCACAGAAGCTGATCCAGGAGGTTTTTGGTTGAGAAAGACACTACCTGGCAGCTGTCATTGCTTCTGCAGATGAACAATAAATAAATATCAAGGAGTTTAACTCTAAAGGTTAAATGAAGCAGGTAGAATGGATTGTTATGTAGAAGGAACAGAAAGCAGCTCTGATCATTGTTGCTGCACTAAAACATTTTTTATTTACCAATTATGGAGAAACAGATTATAAATACCCAAATTAACTAGAAATGTTAAAACCTGCTGATGAAAAATAAATAAATAAATATAAAGGAGTTTAACTCTAAAGGTTAAATAAAGCAGGTAGAATGGATTGTTATGTAGAAGGAACAGAAAGCAGCTCTGATCATTATTGCTGCACTAAAACATTTTTTTTTACCAATTATGGAGAAACAGATTATAAATACCCAAATTAACTAGAAATGTTAAAACCTGCTGATGAAAAATATTAGATTACATACTCTCGTTGTTGTAGTTTTTACCTCAAACCTTAAAAACCTTCTATTCACTTCCAGCCGCTATGAACGGCAGCAGGAAATCCCCCACAGGCTGCCTGCAGCAGAGAGCTTTCAGCGGGGATTCCCAGCGCTGCCTCCCGGCGGGATGCTGGAGGTCTGGAGCTCCCAGTAAGAACTGCAGATTATAGTGGGATTATAATCCTGATGAACTGATGAACAGAGGATGTTTGGAGGTGGACTTTCTCACTTAAAAACCTGTTCAAACTATTTTCCAGCTCATAAAGTAAATGAAGCCGAGCTGCTCTCTAGCTGGAAGCTACAGAACAGAGCAGATAAACAACCAGAGCGTCGAGCAGCCAGAGCTTTGAAACAACTGGACCAGTTTGATCCAACGTCCACATTTCTGCGTTTCAATCATTTTGACGTCAAGATTGCGTTGCATTTGAACGCATCATAAGACTGGACTGTTTGTCCTAATATAACATGAACATTCCTGAACATTTGATAATTACCTTTCAATCTTTGAAACACTTAACAGTTATATTCATTTAACAGTTATCTGTTAGGATGCTAATGTGTGTGTACACTCATGCATACCCATTCTAGTCTTGTTCTATATAGTGAGGCCATTTTTAACCCTTTCTATACCCCTCAGACTAACAACTACTGCCAGAGCATTGCTCACCCTCAGCCCTAAAGCAAGATGTTCTCACTTTGCAACAACTGGTCCTAAATTTAATGGTGAAATTGGAAAAATGGTCCTCACTCTGAGGGCTAGACAGGTACACACACACACACACACACGCAGGTATTTCAGTCAGTTTGGGGACTTTTCTGCCGTCTCATTTGATCATTTTAGCTGCTTTGTTTCTAGGAGCGATTTTTTAAGCTGCATTGTACATAAATGTTCTCCTGAAGTAGAAAGCATCGTACCTTTGCTCTGCATCACTTTACTGCTTTGTCCTCTTCTGAGCGCTACACTGCAGCTCAGCCAGGGGCCTCGGATGCTTTGAGGACTCGATGCCGCTCTGAGGAAAGAGGCAGGATTCACTCATCTGATCGAGGATAGATTTTTTAAATTGTGATGACCTTTGACACACACCATGTTTCTCTTCCTGACTTGGTTGCTGTGGGCCACCGTACTGGGAAGAGGTGTGTGATGAGGTTCGTCTCTCTGAACAACCGTGTGTGAAGTTTGCAGCTTCCTGTAAAGAGACGGTTTGTTAAGGAAGGTTTAATTACAGCCTGCAGTCGTATCCTTGTAACAGAGAGATGAATCTTTGGAAAGTGGAGGAGGAAATACGAGGGAATACTTCCTAAAATAACTTGGTTAGACGTGGAGCTAATTGTACTTTACAAGTGAAAGGCTTAGATGAAAGTAGTAACTTTGGCTCTAAACTAGGGGTGAGCATTTATCGGTTTCTCAATGTGAGAAGAATTTTTGATTTATTGTCTAAACGATAAATTAGAATCAATGAATAAAAACTCCAGAAACTGAGTGAATTATCAGAATTCTTCTTTTTCTTTCATTTTTTTTCATTGGGGTATTTCCATATTTGAATAATAGGATTAAATGCGATTACTAAGAAATGTTTAGTGATATAAATCAGACTTCTTTATGTTCCTGAAAAGACGCAAAAGTTATGTGTTTATATTCTTCAGGAGTTTTACTTGTGCTTGTCAGGCTCCTCTCCTGTGGAACCAACTACCAGTTTTAGTCCGTGAGGCAGACACCCTGTCTACTTTTAAGGCTAG